TTAGTCCCAACCAAGCTTGAACTATTGGCCTCCTTCAGCCATTATGCTGTCTGTGAAAGCACTGATTTACAGTAAGCAACAAAAAACTGGCTACACAGGAAAAAGAGTTTTAGGGAGACTGTATCCTTTGCTCCTCTCTGTCCTTAAGCCTCAGCAGGTTTGAATCACTGGTGTAGGTTCATTCTGCTTTCATTGGTATACCACCAATGCCTGCTGCAAACCTGCTAAGGACTTTTCATCAAGAGTTTATAACATTATTTCTGTCTCCAGGGCTGAGAATCAGGCTGAATTATCTCCAATTTAGGGCTTACCACAGTTTAGGAATTTAATAAATAGATTCAAGTATCATAGAATTTATAACCCAGGGAACGATTTGACATAGAATGTGCTTTGCAGAATTATATTTTATAGATAAGATTAGAATATATTATAGAGAATTATAAATGCATAAAATACGTATTTTAAGAAAGATGCTATATAAAACATGCTCCCTGTCCACTTTATTGTTGTGATGTGTGTTCTGGTTTGTTCATTTACTTTTTTAAAATCACTGTCTCAACTGCATTTCAGTGTTTCCTTTTCCCTTTAGACCATATCAACCTGTTCATTTCTACATGCCAGGAGAGAGACAGACACAGAGAGAAAAAATCTAAATAAGTTCATAGAATTTCATGTATGCTCTGATCTTGAAAATGAGTGGGCTTAACAGAAGCTTGAACAAACTTTCCAGTTTAGTGTCTTTTTCCTCTCTAGGTTCAAAATCAGTTTGACCTCTACTTACATTTTATTAGATTTTATAGTTATTATATTATCAATATAATACCTTCAAATACCTGCTATTTTACTATTGTTTGCCTCCCTAATTTTTAAAGAAAAATTCCATTCCTATAGGAAATGAATACATTTATAAAACATCAATATCCAAAAACTAGTTTCCAAGATAACTTTTTCAATGTGACCTATTGCATAAAATGTAATAAAAACACTGAGGTTTTTCAGAGATTTGAGCTGTGGTTCACACTTAAAAGTCAGACCTTCATTTTATGGAGTTGCTCATCAAATTAAATTTTATTTGATCCATCAACATTTTATACTATTAAATTGTTATTAGTTGAAATGAATATGTTATTAGCACATAAAACTTGTTCCCTGGCAAGGAGGATTCATTTGTATCACTCTTAATTTCAGGACACCTAGGAAAGTATGGATTACCTGGAACTGTACAGGACTGGATTCCTCCCGAGAGAAAGTATGGTATCTTTTCCCAAGAGCTTAGAATGTATACTTTTTGCCCTTTTTTCCCCCCACTGTGGGGGGCGGGAGAGAAGTATAGATTATTAGCTAAAAAACAAACAAAAAAATGACAAACTCTGTCAAGTAGCTTTGTGTCATGGTAATTTGCTAAGCCTGTTATATAGTGGTAAACACCCTACTTTGAGGTGCTTACTTGAGGGGATATTTAGACTTTTACTTATTACCTTCCATGGTTCCAATGGGCATTAAATAAAAATAGTACTCATTCTGTACTACGACTCCTGTGATACCAGCCTACTTTTATTTACAATTTTCATGGTGATAACTTTCCAAAGGATTAAAAGTATCATTTGTACGATGTTTATAAGACAGTTTAAAAACAAAGAGAGTAAAAACAATTTATTTAAATATGAAAAAAAGGGCATAAAAGACAGTCACACTAAGGGACTCTGTATAAAATGGTTGTAGCAATTGAGGGGCAACAGACTTGCTTCCTTAAATATCCATTTAATCTATATTTCCTGGCCACACTGCTCAGTTCCCAAAATGGATTCTAGTAATGACTGTTAGGGAAACACAGTGCACACACACACACACAGAGGTTAGTTTTTGATGTAGCAATGTCTCCTCCTGCACATCTTTGGGGCTGTTATTCCACTTGTAGGTACATTCTATAAAACATTTTGTTACAGCTATGCCTTGGCTTTAGATGCAGTAGAGCTGAGTTTCTAAGCTTTTTGGAGATAATCTGAGTGTCCTAATATTTTCATGAATTGTTTAATATCCTGACACTATCAATTACTTTATGTCTACTTATCTAGAGATCTGTCACTCTCCTTAATTTTAACTTTTAGTAGATGAGAAACAGCTTTGATAATGCAAACATTTCTTTTTCCCTGAATTTGTTGGTGAAACATGCACTTTTCACATCTCATTTTGTGTGCCTGTATATTTCATTCTTGAATAACATTTATTCCCTACCTTGAAACAGGTCAGACTGAAATTGGGCCTTCTACCGCTAGACTGAAAAGACCTAGAATTCATCGACAGCACAGATACAACAATAGCCTTCATGGAATACAAAAACTCTAGTTCTCATAGGATATCCTTGACCTCAGTGATGAATCATGAGGGCGTAGAGGGTTGAGAAAAAAGTAGACACATCACTACTGTTTCTAACAAGATATCCCAAAGCTATTTCAGTTCCAGGAATTCTGTCTGCTCCTGTTTTTACTTCATTAGCAATTCAACATGTCTGATTTGCCCACACAATACTTTCAAGCTACTTTACCCATTTGACCTGGAACAAAGTGAAAGCACATTTTGCCCAGTTGAAAGGTCTCCTGGCAAGTTGGTTAGCAACAGGCTTGCCAGTCTGGGTTCTGTTAGCAAAGACTAAACACATTTCATTAGACAATTACTAGTGAACTGATTTCCTCTCTATGAAGTTGGGTTTTTGTTTTGTTTTGTTTTCCTATATTCTTCAGCCATTCCCCCTCCCCCACCACCTGTTATTCAACTTTTTACTTGTAATTCTTGCCTCAACACGATTTCCAATTTCTTCACGGCAGAACATTTCCACGTCTTTGTGGCTGTGATTAACGCAGTTTAATTGCCAAGAACAGGTACCGAGTAAAAGTTTATTTGAAGGAAAGAAAAGCGACACAGCAGTCTTACATCGTCCCTCGGCAGTTTAAAGTTGTGGCTAGATACGTATCAATTAAGGAATCAAGCTGAGGCATCTGCAAGTACCAATTTTACTGTAATGCTCTAAAATTTGGTCAGTTGGGGAAGTCTTTACTTGTAACAGTGTAAGTACACAACGGACAGGAGGGTTTTGCGAGAAAGGCAGGCGCTCTGCCCTGTTCTGCCCGTGACATGATGACGTAAGAACGACTCCCAGAAACTGCCTGAGTTGCTCACGTCCCCAGCTCCCCGATGTGCACCTGGGCGCGGGACGCCGCAGGACGGAGGGAGAGCGCTCCTCGGTCCCGCTCCCCTGCGCACGGGCAGGCGAGGACCCGGGCGTCGTCACCCCCACGGGAGGGAGCAGAGAGAGACACCCGAAGAGGGCCTCGAGTCATCCGTGTCCCCGGGTGCCCTGCCTCTCCAGGATACCTGCGTAACTCGCAGCAGCCAAGCCCCACTACGTTTAAAAGTGTATTTGTGGTTGTCACGGTGCACACCGAAAAGCTCGCTCCGCACCCCCAGAGTGCGCGGGGCCTCTGAGCCTGGAAACAAGCCCCTCCCAGCGCAGCTGTCGCCGCCGCCTGCGGGCTCCTTTCACTTTCTCACGGCCAAGTCACCCAGAGGGGCGCCGCTGCTGCCACCGCCGCTGCGCCCGAGGACTCCGCCCCGTGCCTCTTCGCTCCGGGCCCCCGCCCGCCCGAGCCCCGCCCACCCCAACAGTTGCTGCCTGCGATTGGCACGCGCGGGAGGGCAGCTCCGGCTCGCCACCCCCATTGGCTGGGCCCCCCTGTCAATCCGACGACTGCCCGCCACCCCCTCCGCCTTCCCGAAGAGCCGCCCTCCCATTGGAGGAGTCTGAGGGCTGGGGGCGGGCGGGGAGCGCCGGTCCAGCCGCTTTCGGTCAATCGCAGAAGCCCAACGCCCGGAGGGAGGGAGGCAGGGGAAGGAGAGGGGCGGACTGAGGGTGGGGGGAACATCTGGCCGGCGCCGCCGCGTGCGTGCGTGGTGCGTCCTCCCGCCCCCTCCCTTCCCCCTCCCCCGCGCCCGCCCCCCCGCCCCCGCCCCCCCACCCTGCCCGGCGGCTCCGCGCTCGCTCCCTCGCTCGCTCCCTCGCTGTGTCTGGCAGGCTGCGGCCGCCGCTGGGCTGCTGCCATGGGGAGCCGTTGAGAGTGGGGCCCTCTTCGCTCCGCCGCGCTCCTCCGGCTGCCAGCGGGGGTGGGCGGGAGGGAGGGGCGGGGGGGGAGCGGGCGACGGAGCCGGGATTGGGGGGCGGGGGGGCCGGGAGGGAGGGGGGCAAGAGCCGGAGGAAGCCCACCAAGTCCGGCGGCGGCGGCGGCGGCGGCGGCGGCGGCGGCCGGGAGGAGGAGGAGGAGGAGGCGGAGGACGCGGCGGCGGCGGGGACGCGGTGACTTAGGGCCGCTCCGTGTGAGTCCCGGCGCCGGCCCCTGGCCCCTGACCCGGCGCCCCCTCCGCGCCCCGGCACCCCGGCGGGCGGGGGGCGCCAGCTGTGCGGCCCCGGCCGGCTGGGCGGCGCGGGCGGAGGGCGGGCCGGGCCGGGGGCGCCCCCGCGAGTGGAGTTAGTTTGTGTGGTTGGAGCTGTTGGGGCGGCGGGGGGCGGCGCAGCTGCGGGAGGCCCGGCCGCGGGGACGGGCCGCTGCAGCTGCGGGGTCGGGCGGGGTGCGGGCTCCCGGCTCCGCGCCGCGCCCCCGCGGGCCGGTGCAGCTGCGGCGCGGGGCGGGCTCCCGGCCGGTGCAGCTGCGGTGGCGCCTCTCGGGTGCGGAGGGCGGCGGGCTGGGGGAGGGGGCTTGGGATCCGCCGCAGCTGCAGTGGCGCCCGGGACGGCCGCGGCTCCGGGGACCGGTGCAGCTGCAGTGGCGCCCGGGGGAGGGGGCCGGCAGGGGAGGGGGCCCTCCCGGGCTGGTGCAGTTGCCCGGAGGCCCCGGGGGCTCGCGCGTCGTGGCGTCGGGGAAGCGGTAGCAACCACCCTCCTCCGGCTGGCTGCTTCTTACGACTTTTCTTTTGTTGCCGTGACCCGGCTCTGTTTTCTCTTCTGTTATTGAAGGTGTTTTCCTGCTGCACCGGCTCTACGCCCTCCACCTCCTTCCCTGTGGCTTTAACCTTCCTCTTTCCCCGTGTGTTTTATGCACGGTGAACTACGTAAAGATTTGCATTGCTTCCCCACTCGGCATCCCCGCCCCCACCTCTCTGAAAAACAAAACCCCAACCTCACAAAATCTCTATGGATCCGCGGTAGCGAGACGTGAAGGGGTTGATTTGTGGAGTGGGAGTCGCTGGCCCATTGCGGTGCTTGGGACTCATTAAACTGTCACTCACCCCCCACCCCACTGGGTAAATGGGGTGATTAATGTCTGATATACTGGAATGGGGCGAGGGCATTTATGGAGAATAGGTGGTGTGGCTGGAAAGAAATTGATCGCCCAAGGATGTCTCCTGGACTAAGCGTTCATAATTATGTCACTCACCGCGAAGTTGGAGAAAGTTAGGTTTGTGACTTTGGGAAAGCGAGAAGGACAGGAGAGTCGTCGGGTTTTGTTACTATTTAACTCTCCGCCACGGCTTTCTAATGGGAACGAAGTGGTTATCACCAGGGCTGGGACGCTGACGCCTCAGGCCCCAGTTCCTTTTCTACCCCTCGCCCTCCCAAGAGTCTGAGGAGATGTATTTGACATTCAGAGATGTCGCAGCACCCTGCCCGGCACCGGTCAGCCCAGCCCGGGTCGCGTTACAGTTTCATCAGCTTTTAGAAAAGACCCACAAACTCTGGCTGAAAAGTTCTCAAACTTACTAGACCTGGCTTCCCCCCACACAAAGATTTTCTTGTGATCCTTAAACATGACAGAGTGACACCCCCCCACACACACAAAAAAGATTGTTAAGGGACACAGATCAAGGGGAAGGCAAGGTTCTGCTTTTTCTGAGCAGAAAGATCAGATATGCAGGTGCAGCATTCATTTTAAGTGACTGTAGCAGGTTGTATCAGTTTATTAATTGGTCTCGTTGAACTGAAGTACTTTCCAGGATTTCAGAAAGTGCAGTTTCAGCTTGTTGGTACTGAGAATTGAAATTTGCATTGACTGTGGCAGTGTAGGAAATTTTTCTGAGAAGGTAGTTGTAGATAAGTCATTAAATAAGAGTGAAATAATAAGGTGAACCAGTCCGAAGTAATGGTTCTGAAGAAGTCTGCCAACGTTTGAGACATGTATACCATTGTCTCAGCAGAAAAAAAAAGTGCGGTAATAATGTTGAAATGGGACTGGAGATGTCAAATGGGTTGGTTTAAAAATATCCCTAAACTGCCTTAGAAACTAAACGTTGGAGTTAAATAAAAGTGAATCTGGATTTCCTGAATAGCACCGTGGCTTGAGTGTGCTGTCAGTATGTAAGCCAGTCCACCAACTTAAGACAGAAGTGTTGCTATTCCATAAATACAGTAGAACTCCATATGCTGAGTTTTTCAATTTCTTCTGTTAGAAAGTTTGGAAAAAAAGGAAGACTTTGAAGTATTTTGTTTATACTAACAGAAGAGAAAAGTTCTCCTAAGAAAAAGCTGGTGGCAGGAGTGTAGAGGAGTAGCATATGGCATTAAAAGGAGCACAGCTGGAGGTAGCATTTCCATCTGAACATGATGTCAGAGCAGCTGACAGCCTGCCATCCCTCAGCCTTTTATTCTAACACACAGACAGGGAGTTAGTGTGTGCGGATCTGTGGTGGAGAAGGTATCTCATTCCTCTCTAACATCATCTCCACTTTGCATCTGTCTCTCTTAGTCTGCTTTTTTTCCACCGATGTAACAGACCTGGAGCCAGCAGGACTCAGAGGAAAGGACTTAATCAGGTTTATGTGTCCTAAAGGTAGGAGTAGCAAGAGATTAGATTGAGCATATTTCTGTTTTGGTGTTTTGTTTATTTAATTTTAAAAATCACATTACTTTTCTAACCCAGTTTAGGAATAATATATGAAATTGAGTATTAAATGAACATCTTACTGGAGTTGAAAGTCTTGAGCTTGTTTAGTTTTAATTTTTTATCCCTTTTACTTGAGCGAGTAAATAACTTTAATACACAGAAATATGTCAAGTTTTGAAATGTTAAGAAAGGCTTTAAAATACTGCTTTTGGAAATCACGTTGGATTAAAATGCTTTTTTGTTGTTCACTGCTATTTAGATTTGACTGGGATGGTGGTGGTGGGGAAATACTAAACTGTCTGGAATCCAGCATTCAAACTTATATGAGAAGATTATTCTAGTTAAGAAGCTAGATTGTTGTGTAATTAATTCCACTGTGAAACTTTATTCTTCAAAACATTGAACAGCACTGCTGAAACATACAGCTGTAGTGCTTTTGAAACTGAAGGTTTTTAAGAAGAAGAAAAAAAAAACTTTTGTCCCCAGGAGAATAGTTTGACTGGTTTCCTCACTTCTCTTTCAAATATATATTTAAGAGATCTTTTATTTCAGCATAACAATAATTATTTGCAGGAGTTTTTGTGTTAGCGACTAATTTAGAACTTGTAGATTTGAGCTGCCTGAATTGGCCAGACAGCTGTAATCGCACTCCTCTATTCTTAATCTCTTTATCTGGGCAGCAGCTGCCATATGGCCACAGTCAGCTGGATCAGATGTTTATAAGCTTCCTTCTTCGTCCCTCTCTGTCCTCTCAGCCTCCTAATTTGATCACGGCTACCTTGTGAGCTGCCCTCCAATCTTTATTTTTAGCCTTCTCAAGGATTAGGATTGATGTTAGCTGTGGGGCACTTAAAGTGATTGTATTGTAAATCTTAGTTTATTCTAGCAGTGGCATCTTGCAGAATGTATTTGGGGTTAGGATAAAGTTTTAGTCTGTCTTGGGCAAAGTGTAGAAGAAGAAGAAGGAGGGAAGTAATTTCTGAATATTAAATTAAGTGTATCTATTCCCAAAATGCACTTGCTGAGATGGGTGGTGTGGAGCCTTGCTTCTGGTCACAGGAAAGGGGAAGTCGGGTCTTTCTTTTTCAGGAGTTTACCCACTGCAGTTGAATTCTGACCCTTTGTACATCTTTGCCTCTCCCCTCCGTCCATTTCACTCTCCCTCATCAGAAAACCAGGGCAATGATGAATATTTGCAAGAATAGAAGCTAGTGGGAAAACAAAACTATATCAAATTAGATTGAAACAAAGTATTTTCTGTTGGCTGAGGTAAGGCAGAACCGGGGGGGAAAAAGTTTCTCTTTTTCTGAAAAGGCTTTAAAAAAAAAACAGTTGAACCTGTAAAGCTTTTGAGTTTTATTTAAGCGTTATATGCCTTTATTTTTAAAAGTTAGAATTAATTTTAATAGGAAATTCATTTTGCCTTGCAATGGATCAAAGTTTAGATGAGAATTTTCAGAGTTAAATAAAGCCCCTCTGGTTCCTAATATTCTAAAAGTACAGTTTCTACGAAGAAATATAACAATTTTTTTCTCAGTTCATTTTGAAAAATCTTTGGATTTGTTCATAGTAAAGATGATCTTTTCCATCTGCTGGTGCAGCTCCTGATCTCGCACATGTGTGCTGTACCTGCAAATCTGAAGGCATTAACATCTGTTTTTATACACAGGGCTTTTGTTGTACCACTCTGACTTTAAAAGTAAGTTGTTTGCTAATTTCTGGACTAATTATGCAATTTCATTTTTTTTTCTTGAATCAGCCAAATGTGTGTGTGTGTTTAAACTGTGCTTTCTAAGTACAGTCAAGTAGCAAAAGTAATAAAAGGAAAAGGATGGTTGAACAAGTTTTCTTGTATGTTCCAGGATATGTTTGGGACTTTGTTTGTTTATTATATGAGTTGTTTCCTTTGAAATTAAAGCTATTTTGTAGGTTTTGTAGGACATAATTTGATAAGTAGAGTTAGTTAAATTTCTTCTGAAAGAGATCTAAATTCTTATTCCTAGTGAGAGACTGTAGTTAAAGGAAGGCTTTGAAAGCTTGGGTTCAGGGAAGATGGAGATGCGTCGGAGGCTGTCCGGCGGGGGTAAGGAGTTGAGAAAGTGCACGTTTTCCTTCTCGCGTTTAGGTCTCGTCCGTGTGATTTGGTAGTGCTGGGTCATAAGCCTGATTGAAATTCAGGGACATGTACCACGGCGGCCAAGGCGGAATTAATTTTTTTATATGGGGACTAGAGCACTGAAAAGTTGTTCCCGACCAGGCTCTAATGAGAACTTCCTCTCTCCCCAGGTTATGAAGACAGTATGGAGTTTCCAGACCATAGTAGACACTTGCTGCAGTGTCTGAGCGAGCAGAGGCACCAGGGCTTTCTTTGTGACTGCACTGTTCTGGTGGGAGATGCCCAGTTCCGAGCGCACCGCGCTGTACTGGCTTCATGCAGCATGTATTTCCACCTCTTTTACAAGGACCAGCTGGACAAAAGAGACATTGTTCATCTGAACAGCGACATTGTTACAGCCCCCGCTTTCGCTCTCCTGCTTGAATTCATGTATGAAGGGAAACTCCAGTTCAAAGACTTGCCCATTGAAGACGTGCTAGCAGCTGCCAGTTATCTCCACATGTATGACATTGTCAAAGTCTGCAAAAAGAAGCTGAAAGAGAAAGCTACCACGGAGGCAGACAGCACCAAAAAGGAAGAAGATGCTTCAAGTTGTTCGGACAAAGTCGAGAGTCTCTCCGATGGCAGCAGCCACATGGCAGGCGATTTGCCCAGTGATGAAGATGAAGGAGAAGATGAAAAATTGAACATCCTGCCCAGCAAAAGGGACTTGGCGGCCGAGCCTGGGAACATGTGGATGCGATTGCCCTCAGACTCAGCAGGCATCCCCCAGGCTGGCGGAGAGGCAGAGCCACACGCCACAGCAGCTGGAAAAACAGTAGCCAGCCCCTGCAGCTCAACAGAGTCTTTGTCCCAGAGGTCTGTCACCTCCGTGAGGGATTCGGCAGATGTTGACTGTGTGCTGGACCTGTCTGTCAAGTCCAGCCTTTCAGGAGTTGAAAATCTGAACAGCTCTTATTTCTCTTCACAGGACGTGCTGAGAAGCAACCTGGTGCAGGTGAAGGTGGAGAAAGAGGCTTCCTGTGATGAGAGTGATGTTGGCACTAATGACTATGACATGGAACATAGCACTGTGAAAGAAAGTGTGAGCACTAATAACAGGGTACAGTATGAGCCGGCCCATCTGGCTCCTCTGAGGGAGGACTCGGTCTTGAGGGAGCTGGACCGGGAGGACAAAGCCAGCGATGATGAGATGATGACCCCAGAGAGCGAGCGCGTCCAGGTGGAGGGGGGCATGGAGAGCAGTCTGCTCCCCTACGTCTCCAATATCCTGAGCCCCGCGGGCCAGATCTTCATGTGCCCCCTGTGCAACAAGGTCTTCCCCAGCCCCCACATCCTGCAGATCCACCTGAGCACACACTTCCGCGAGCAGGACGGCATCCGCAGCAAGCCCGCCGCCGATGTCAACGTGCCCACGTGCTCGCTGTGTGGGAAGACTTTCTCTTGCATGTACACCCTCAAGCGCCACGAGAGGACTCACTCGGGGGAGAAGCCCTACACATGCACCCAGTGCGGCAAGAGCTTCCAGTACTCGCACAACCTGAGCCGCCACGCCGTGGTGCACACCCGCGAGAAGCCGCACGCCTGCAAGTGGTGCGAGCGCAGGTTCACGCAGTCCGGGGACCTGTACAGACACATTCGCAAGTTCCACTGTGAGTTGGTGAACTCCTTGTCGGTCAAAAGCGAAGCACTGAGCTTGCCTACTGTCAGAGACTGGACCTTAGAAGATAGCTCTCAAGAACTTTGGAAATAATTTTATATATATATAAATAATATATATATATATACATATATATAAATAGATCTCTATATAGTTGTGGTACGGTCTAAAAGCAGTCTTGTTTCCTGGAAATAAAAAGTTGGGATATTAACTTGTTTTTGCACTTTAGAATAGCATGAGAATCTCACTAATTTAGCATTCTGATAAAAGAAACTTTAGAGCAAGTCAGAATAGAGAGGTGTTTTTCCTTTGAGGGGGTAGGGGAAGTAAGCCAATAAGAACCTTTTAAACGAATCGTCCTATCACAAAATGCTTTCATATGGCTTAATTTTGTCAACACTGCATTGTCTTTTGAGCTCTTTTTTTCCCCCCAACAATTTTTTTTTTTTCAGTAGAAATTCCCTCCAGTTTTATTAGCCTCTTTATATGTCTCAAATTGCATGAATTTTTTCTGGCTGTTGGAAACCTGAATGCTTTTAGACCCAAATGGAAAATTTCTGAAATGCTGGATTATCTATTTTTAAACAAGCAGTTGACTTAAAACTTTCTGTGGCAACTTCTGGTTTTCTGACGGTTCCCAGTGAGAGAAATGCTGAAACTACACTGGGATCACTGGGACACTGTCTTGTGAAGGTTTGCTTGGGATGAAAAAGGATATTGCAGCTTCAGCAGTGTTGAACTGTGTGTTTAAAAATGTGAATTACTGTTATTGTATACTGTAATTGATTACATGGGCTGGGGGGGTGTCAAAGAACTTGACAGGTTGTGTTGATGCTCTTAGTTGAGTCTTGAAAAGTAAATATTAACGCTACAGAAATGCATGAGTTTCAATATATTTTTTGTCTTTGTTTGCATTGTATAACTTTAACGAGTGAGTTTAAAATTATTTAATTTCCTTAGAAAAATAGCACCATTTGGAAAAAAACCTGGTGTTATGAAGAACGTAAATGCACTGTTTTTATTTTTATTTTATATAATTTAAATTGACTTTCCCACTGTCTTTAAGTTGAAACTGTTAAGCTGAATAAAAACTTAAGCTGCAAATTGATAACTTCGCTACATAACAAGGAAAATATAAATGTTTACAAACGGCTTAAAGATTTGCATGTGCAGTGTGCATTTATAACAAACTTCTAATTGCACAAAACCCATGCCAGCTCAGAGTTTAGGTGTACACATTTACCCAGTTGAGCATTTTTAGAATAACTACTGCACAAGTTGACAATAGGTCATTCTCTCTCTTTTTTTTTTTTTTGTTTGCTCCCTTTTTCTTTTTCTCCCCTTCTTCCTTACCCTCCCTCCCTTACTCTCCCCCCCCACCACCCTCCACCCCCAACTCATGAAAAGATTCTATGGACTGAAAAAGCCCCAGGCTGAAAGGACTGGACTGCCTTGATTGACATGGGGAAGGGGGTTAGTAGACTATGTGGATTGCGGCAGCAGAGGCTGCAGCCTAACGTGTGGTTTTAATGACCAGCACGCAAGGCAAAAGCATTTTGCACAGTGTTTGTTTTCCTGTCTTGCACTTACAAATAAGGTCTATGGGAGTAGCATGGAAAACGTTTGCTGTTTTTCCCTTTTTTTTTTTTTAATTGCTTTTGTTTAAAATTTGATCGCCTTAACTACTGTAAACATAGCCTATTTTTGTGCTTAAGATACTGAATGGAAAACTCCATTGTGTGTTGCTGGACTGTTTTGGAAATATTTGGTTAAATGTGTGTTAATTTGGCTGTAATGGCATTTAAAGCAAACAAACAAACAAAAAAAAGCTGTGAAAATGGCCTTGGAGCATTATCTTTAGTTACTTGAAGAGTTTCTAGTTTTTTTTAAATACAGTTTATGTTAAAATAATTTTTATTAATTTAGAGAAGACAATCAATGTCTGTGAGAAAACGGACTTTCTTTTGGATTTTCTTTTTGTGGTCATTGTGAGTGATTGCTTTTTCCTTTTCTTAGTTTCACATTCTTCCTTTGTTCTAAAACTTAGACTGACATCTAGCTTTGACAATCATAGTATGTTTTATTTTCCTGAGGGGGGAATAACTTATAATGCTGTTTAGTTTTGTACTATTGGCGTGTTGGTGAATTTTTAAACTGTGTGCTAACTGCAATAAATTATATGAACTGAGAATTTCTTGTGTGTATTTTTTATTGTGATTATGTAGTGTATAGATTCTAAATATGTGTCATAGCTGGCATCTTTAATGTCAATTGTGATCGGAGTTCATGAAATTATTAGAATGCCTTAAATCACTCGAATGGAAAATGTGCAAACATTCTAGTCACTTAAGAAGATACTAAATGCACGTTTAAAAAATGTGACCCATTTTCACAATCTAGATCAAGAATGTTGAGGTAATTCCCTAGAAACTCATGAATCATGAAACTACGTGGCAGCATAGATTTTTAAAAATACACTGTACAACTACTAATCCATATATACCATAAGTCACTTTTCATGTGTAATTTTATCCTAAGTTGATTGGTCAAATCTATTCTCCTGTGTTCTGGTTTAAGTGGAAAATTGAAGGAGACCGGATGTTTTAATTTGGAAGACTGCTTGGCTAATGACTGGAATTCTAGGCAATTGAATTAGCAGGCATGCAATTGTTCACGATTAGCTATATACATCCTTTTTGTTGCTGTGAGAACTCGAAAGTTTCCAGGTTTTAATTCTCCAGTTTTAAACATGTAATTAAATACATGGGCCTTTAAAAGAATTCTGTTTCCTACTTTTTGTGATTGTCCCAACTTTATGCGTACCCAGTTGGGTACACGTCAGGGTGAGAAACACTGCTGGTTGACCTGGGTAGGGAACTGACAGAAGGCTCACACATGCGGATGATATGCTAGGGGAATTGTCACAAACAACCCTGAGTGCAAGCAGTCAGGTAGCAGGCACAGAGAGGTTTTGTAAATCTGCGCTTGTCTCTAACTTCCAACCTTAAATAGAAATATGACTATGAAATTTTACATTCTTACTGTCAAAGGTAAACTCTTTATATCCAATGGCCTATAGTAAGGTCAATATTTTTAACCTCTACATAAGTGGGGTATAAGGTCTGAAGTTTGAAAATATACCATTTACGAACTACCTGGGGGCTTTGGATAGGAAGCTACAGGGATTTTGTCATGAAGTATAATAACATAATTTGGAATCCCAATTTTCATCCCCCTGCCTTTTTTTTTTTTTTTCTAAAACAGAATTTTTAAAGTATGTAACTTACCCTTGGTTTTAACCAGCCAAATATTGTTTCACATGAAAGGGGAATGTACATTTGACCCTCATAGAATAATTTCTTGAGCAGTTATAAGCTTATAAAAAAGGGAGGGAAGGGGACTTTTTATTTTCAGTTCCTATAGTAACTGGTCAAAGTATCTCACAGTTTCCTGAAGATGTTGAGCGTTTACTTGACAATTTAGTTCCATGGACTAACATCTAATTTTAAGTGAGGAACATAATCTTAACTGGATATACTTACAATATTTTGAAATGATTTGGAAGAAATAGCTTCTTAAAACTTTCTTTGCAAAGCTAGAACAGAATATTAATGATGCAAACTGCCACATTTGATAAGTGAAATGAAGGAATCCTTTATTTGCCACATTTAAAAGAGGAAATTAATTTATCATGTAATCATGTTGGAAACCATTAAAACTGATCCCTCCTTTGACATCTGGCTGATACATAAGTATATTTTAAATATATAGTTTTAGTTACTTTTGAAAAGTTCTTTTTCCTTTAGATAATCAATTATGGACTAGAGTGATGTGGTTCCAGCATTGTGTGCTCGGGGTACCCTAGGGAAGCTCCAAGAAGTATAAAGTGTTAAGGATACTAGTTTCGGATTTCCTTTCTGGTTAATTATGCTATCAGATTAATTGGTGAATCAAATGGAGTTTCTCTTTAACATTTTTTATGAATATCTACAAATAGGTTATTGAAAGGCTGGGAAAAGGAGAACACTGTATTAGCATTTTAGCACAGGTAACATTAAAATGGCAAAAATACTCATTTTCCAAGTAAATCTTTCAAACTACCATCAAAAAATCTTTTTTTTTTTTTTAACCAAGAAGTGACACTACTTAAAAAATCTTGAACTTCCACGTGTTACGTATAAAACACACACGGACTCTTTGAAGCCTTGACTCAAGAAATCCCATTGTACAGATAAGATTTTTTTTAATGGTCTTAAGACCTCAAACTTTACTGCATTGCATGACTATTTTATTCCTATAAGGCTTAAAACATTCTTTGATTTCCACTATAACGAGGAAAAGTTTCGCATGCTCTGACTAGGAAACTGAGATAATTTTAGATTTTAATTTGTAGATACTGACCTAAATTTTGGTTATAATTGTTTGTTGCAATGCTTGAATTTGCTGATAAGGTACAGTGAATTGTGTGTGAATTTGAAATGCAGCAAAGAAAAAGCTCCGTCCTTTTCACTGAAATTACTTGACATTAAAATGCTAAAGATACCATCTTTAAAAATAAAGGAATAGTTTTAGTTTTTAAAAGCAAATAGCTTTCAGGAGTTTCATTTTGGCTGTAATCCAAGTTTATCACACTGACAGGATTTTGTCCCTTATGTTAAAATTTTTCTACCTTTGCCTACAAAAACACGGCAAAATATCTTTGTATATAACCCCTTGGTTTAAAATGTAGAACCACTTATCTTTCAACTCTGAGTAGGTTTACTTCCATAAAAAAGAAACATTTTATATGTCTAGGACCTTCACCCTTGCTTACATTTCCTTAGTATTATAAAAGGATAGCTAAAGTAATCAGATTTTATTGATGACACGGGAGGTTTTTAGAAATATTCATTTTCAGAGGCACTTTAGAAATTAGACTTTCAGTATTTTTGCGAACCAACCCCTTAAAAAAATCTTTACTAATTAACTTTTGTAATTCTCATGAAAGAAGCTAAACTCCAAATTTAAAACACTGTAATCAGAAAGGATGAGGTCACAGAAATGAAACAATGGCATGAAAAGTTTTTCTTTTTAAGTCTAAATACTTTATACTGTATCTGCTTACACTAAATAAATTGTTGAATTAATCATCCAGGTAATTTAGGTTCATGGGGTAGTATTTGTCTAAAAATATTCAAGAACTTGAAATAAATCAGCATTTTAAAAAAATTATCCAGGTAACTTTCCTGATTCGATTCTAACATTTACTAACTTACTGTGCATCATAATTCCTAGGTTTATGTGGTCACGATACTTTTCTTTAGCTGTAGGTACTTTACAAAAAAAAAAAAATTCTTTGAAAACCAAAATTTTTCTTGACTTTTGGGGCACATATGGCCAAATAAGGTATCTCCTTTTCTAATTTTTGGAAATGGGTTTGCAGTTAAGCTTGCAATTTGCTATAGGAGCATTCTCTAGTTAGTTTGGCAGGAAAGGAGTGAAAACCCCATTTGGCTTTAAAATGTAGCACATTAGTCAGTAACAGTTTCAGTGAGGATATTTAGAGTGGCTTTGAGAGGCCGTGTGACACCCAGAGAGAGTCCATTCACGGAAATGACTTATTTACAGTTTGTTATAATCTCTGTAGTTAATCATTAAATCAAGTAGCTTTTATTAAATGTCAATATGTATGGTTAATATGACTACATAGGAATTTTAAAAAGTCATATTGCCCCAGATATTCATGTTTGTAAAGGGTATATTTGTAGTTAATTTGAAGTGGAGCTTGGAAAATGTATTTGAATATTGGTAAACATTCATAGGACAGATTAAATTTGTTGTTTCAATACATAATGCATACACAATGGTATGAACTTGAAAGAATAGCATAACCTTATTTATGGATGCTAGGCAAACCAGAGCTAACTTTTGATATGTGGCAGCTTAAAAGGATGTATCCTTATCATGTGTGATTTATAAATATATATTACCTAAAACTGTAAAGCAGGACACATTCATTTTATTTTAAAAATCATATTTAATGCAGTTTGCCTTTGAGACGATTGTTAAAGACCTTAACATTTTTGTATGTCTAATGCTCTGAAATGATCTTTGATCAAAGTGAGAGCATTTAGATTTTTTTTATCTGACTCTCTTAAAATTTCTTTTTGAAAACAGCCTCAAAATATACACATACCTTTTCTGTGGACCATGTCTTTGGAACTCTATCATGTAAATTAGCTGTTTGGTAATATTGAAATGCCAATTACATGTTTACTAGGCAGCAAAGCTTCCTAAGGATGTCTATTGGGATAATTTTTGGAAAAGCACAACAGTGCAATAATAGATAATTAAAACATTTAAGAAACGTAGTCGTCGTTTGTGAGCCACAGTTACCATAGACGTTGGTGCCAACGATTCGTATTTAGTGTAAAAAAGTCCATTTTTTTCTAATTATAATGGTTTCTGAATGTCACTTAAAAGCTTTATGAAGTAGAAGAAATTTGAGCAGAGAACCATAGCTCAAGAAAATCTAATTTATAAAAGTTATTTTTATAACTACCTGTTTTTGAGAAAGAAGGTCGCATGCTTACACATGTGACGGAGGAGAATGGGACAGGTTTATATTCAAAGCCTAGTCATTATCCACGAACCCTTAGCATAAAATTTGTTTGAGGTCTCCAAAATCTCTGAGATTTTCCAACTGAATAAACTGAAAGAAACTGAAGTCTGGCAGATGGAATATTCCTTTAAGTTCTGATTTTTGTTGAGATGCAAACTAAAATTCATACTTTATAGTCGGTTCTCTCTGTTTCTCAATGTCCTTTTATTTACTATAGGAGGGTAAATTTTATGCATCAAGTGATTTTGACACCATTGCACAACTGAATTTTCAAGCCAAGTTTGTTTTTGTGTCTGACTTTCTACCATTCTGAAAAAAAATCGAAACAAATTTAAAATGAACACTGTATTTGAAATGGGCCCTATTTACCACTGGGTACCAGCGAACTGCATATTCCCACTGAGTGAGGGCTGAGCATGCAGATGAAAGAGCTGAGGCATTTTCCAGGGGCTCATGACAATACACGACATCGAATTGGATGAAATCCTTAGGTTAAAAGAAAAAAATAAATTAGGGAATATGTTGGGTCACAATGAAGTTTTGCTTTTCATAGTAAGTGTGAAGTCTAGAAAATGTGGTGATTTCTCACA